TGGCTTCCAGGTTCCTTCGATATCACCGATTGTTTAAACATTTCGTTGAGCTTGAAGCACCCAGCTGTAGTTTTGTAATATTTTTCAAAATTTCAAAATCAAACGTCACGAATTGATTTTGCGCAAGCACCTGGATAATCCTCCGCTCTCTCATCGGGAAATCGGAAAACATCTCTGAATCGTGCAGTCAACGGTGAGTCGTGTGATTAAACGTTACTACGAAACTCTGAGCATCGAACAAATGAAGAAATGCGGACAGAATTTATGTTCTATTAGTGATCAGGATCACAAGCGTGTCGTGAAAACGTTTAAGCGGAATCCCAATCCTTCGGTCAGCGATGTGGCCAAAAAGATGAATCTGTCCAAGTCTTTCGTTCAGAGACCCAATGATCGGGAGGGGCTGCATACGTACAAAGTGCAGAAGGCATCAAATCGGTGAGAAAGTCACGCGCCCGGAAACTGTACATCCAGATGCTGACGAAGCCTCATTGTCTCATCATGGATGATGAGACTTACGTCAAGGCGGACTTCCGGCAGCTACTGTTCTTCACCGCCGAGCACAAGTTTGATGTTCCAGAGGAAGTAAGGAAGCAGAAACTTCCAACGTTTGCCAAAAAATAACTGATTTGGCAAGCGATCTTAGAAGCAATGATCAGCTAATTCACCATTTAAAACTCAAAACTCAAAAACAGGCTGCTTTTTCATGGTATACAGTGTGATAATTCAACAATCAATAAATTATCTCAACATTTAGTGGCAAACCATTCATAAACATAACATACAAAAAATTCTTTAATCCACATTAAATTTCATATGTAAGCGCCGATTGAAACAATCTTTTCGACGTCACTACAAGGGTGATTGATTAAACGAAAGAAACGAATCGTGCGGAATGAAAGCCGAGGAAAAACTAATTGCACCAATATACTCAGGCCTACAATTCCACACCTTCTATAGACAGGTTGAGCCTTGATAGCTAGCTGCTTGCGGGAACTGATGACCTTGACCAATTTCCAAATAATACTCTTTAACAAATTTTTGGTGGCCCTGAAAAGGACCGTTTTGTAGTGATGGTTGAGTAATTCTGAGCTGGGTGTTCAACACGGATGAGGCTGTCGAGCTGTATGTCGTTTGGAGCGAGGGTGACACGCATGGCATAGATGACCGACCCGCAGCGACTCACGAAGAGCTACTGATTCCGATCCATAGGATAGCGGTGCAGCTTCTTCCTCCTTTGATGGTTGCTTATGTGGGCTCTGCAGCTCGCTGCTTGCAGGCAGCCTTTCGTTGTTACTGGAGAACAATTTTCAACGCCACACGCCGGAAGCACTACTACTGCTGCTACTGCTGCTACTGCTGCTACTAATTTCGACGACCGAACACCACCACACAGTGGTGTAGTCGTTGGGAACGTGTGGTTCTGAGTATGGCGATGAGTGTGCAAAATATTACGCAATTCCATCCTCCCTATTTGCACGCGCCCGAGGATCGGAGGCGAATGCCACTTCGACTTGTTTCGTCTACTTACTACTCTCTGACGACTGTGCTGGGGAAGCAGCATATGCATGTAGGTAATTGGTGCATTTGTTAGTTAAATCGACGCTTTTGGACAATGCTGGACATTTACCAGTTTTTCAATAGTTTCTTGCTGAAAATCAACATTTAGAAGCATGTCGATGCGTAGTCATATCTCTGATCGATTGGTGATAAAATTATTGAAATTGGACCAGGGGCAGCTGAGTTATTAACGTTTAAAATCTTTCTTAATTTGTTACATGTTCCATTTTCGGTTTCACAAAGTGTACCCCCATATAGAAATCAAAGACGTAGTCCTACGTCAAAACCGCAAAAGGCGCGTTAGGCCCTCCCTAGAAGTAAGGCAGGCAGTGTTCATTTGAAACGTTAATAACTGTTCGGGGTTAACTCGGATTCACATGTTACCTATACTCTAAAAGTTCTACATTGTGTACATGAAGAACATTGACCAGCTACAACGCCACCTAGAGCATTACATTTTTGTCGATTTTCCCCATACAAACTTCAAGCCCTTTGAACGAGGGTTTCCCGTGAACCAAATTACTTCAAATTTTGGCAGGGTGTTTTTAACCCCCCAAACTATTATTCCATGATTGACCTATTTTGAAACACTCTAGTAGGCATGCTATCAATTGACGTTTGAGTGCGTTTTATGAGTTTAAAGCTGGAATGATTTTTTGGCGTTATGAGTGTGAGTGCGATTATTCCAAAGCATTCCAAGGAGTATTCCAAGGCAATGAGGATGGTTAAAAAATGAAAATGATTCCATGAGAATTGAATAGCATGAACTTGTTTAAAGGATTTCTGCTAAGAATTGAATAAAATCTCTGGGAGCATTCCTAGAGAATTAAGCAAAACATTTTAACATTTTTTACTTTAGAAACTCATACATTCCTAGGGAGAATTTCAATTTTAAATCATGTCAAAGGAAACTCATGTACATGTGGTTAAATATTTAGGAAGAATTGTAAAGAATCCCGAGCAAAGTCTGAGATCAAATGGAAATCTAAATTTGATGTTGTGATTTCGCTGATTATGATTACACAGGTTGCTGTCGTTTTAGTCGTTTTAACGGTTAAAATATCAAAATTCTTCCAAAATCTTCCTGTGACATCACATTGAAAACTATTTCTGCTATCAGTGAGAACAAACTGAAAACTCAATTTGATATAAATTTTTCATGTTGATAACAAATCAAGTGTTCAATTTGATGTTCTGCTAAGGCAATGAGCAATAAGCAAATGTACAGCAAAATGAAATCAAAATTTGTCAATTGCGTAAGCTGAAATCAAATTATGATTTCAGTTTGATGTTGATATCATAACTTGACTTCAATTTGCTGTCATTTTGATGCTGGACTTTGCTCGGGATGTTACGGAATTTTTTGGGGTAATCTTGAAATTCAGAGCAAACTTCAAACGCAATTCTGAAGTGCATTTCAAGAGAATTTTGAAGAGTGTTCCAAAAATATTCTGAAGAGTTTACCATGAGAACTCTTAGGAACATCGCAAACTGGGGGATGAGACATGGAGTCAGACTTCTTTTGAAATTTCTAATATTTTGACGTAGGACTACGTCTATGATTTCTATATGGGGATACACTTTGTGAAAACTGAAAATGGAACATGTAACGAAATTATGAAAGATTTTGAACGTTAATAACTCAGCTGCCCGTGGACCAATTTGAATAATTTTATCTCCAATCGATCAGAAATATTTTTACGCATCGATAACAATGCTTCCGTGCTGATTTTCAACAAAAAACTATTCAAAAAGTGAAAATTGCAAGCATTGCCCAAAAGCAACGAAATAACTAACAAATCCACCAGTTACGTACATGCATATGCTGCTACCCCAACACGGTCATCAGAGAATCGTTTCTAGTCGAAACATGTTTGAAAACATGTCGATGTAGCATTGCTGTTTCCCCAACACTGTCATCAGAAAGTCGTTAGAAAACAAAACAAGTCGAAGTGGTATTCGCCTCCGATCTTCGGGCGTGTGCGAATAGGGAGGATGCAATTGCGTAACATCGCCATATTCAGAGCCACACGCTCCCAACAACCACGCAAAAAGCTCTCCAGAGTTGTAATCTTGTAACGAAACTTGGAAGCAGGGGTGCAAATGATTTTTATCGATTCTCTTCATTGACTTTCTGTTTCGTTAATAACTCGACGGTAAACATATTCATTGATACGTTTGTTGTTCTAGATGATTGAAGGGCATAGCAGAAATAGTGTGAAATAGGTTAGTGAAGCAATGATCATCAAAAGAGGAAATCGATAAAGAAAATTGACCTTTATCCCTCTGCTTCTAAGGGGCTTAATCCTGTCGTTTTCAATTATTCGAGCGCGTAACCGACATCCCTTCTTATTTCTACTCGTTTGATTTAGCGCAGTAGAGAAAATAAATAAAAGTACTAATTTATCTCAACGGGATAACGGCAACCATGCCGTGAAACAGGATCATAAATTCGCCGAAAAAAGTGTTAAGCGTCTTTCTGCTAAAGGCTAAGTTTTACCAACTTTTTGAGAGAAAAACTGAAAAGGGGAGGAGCTTAAGCTGGGTGGACACTGATATTATGCGGCCTTCCAACGTGTCGCAGACACCAGTTCAACCCCTGTCCAGCAGTAGACGGGCCGAGACTCTTGCGAGTGTTCAATAATTGAACCGAAGAAAATTGGATTGCCCGCTTCAAATTACTGATCCAGCTGCCATCATCATGTTCCAAAGGCTTTAAGCCTGTACTACCATCGGCCTTTTTCAGGGCCACCAAGATTTTCAAAAAGAGTTAAATTTCTGAACATGTCCCAACTAAAATTCATATCAAAAGGTTGTTTTCAGGGCAATCATAGTCATACTAAAGAATATAAACAGAGAGAACCCCGCTCAAATTTCTATTCCTACACAAAACACAAGCTCCTGCTAAAGTTAACAAATAACATTTATTATATAAGACCACGTAGTCCTTTGCCACCATTGTGTACAACCCCACAGGGCAATCACTTGTATTTTTTCTACTGCAGCAAATTATGTTCATATTACGTTCAATCATAAAGTTTATCTCTCAACTTCTGATTTAATTTTATTCGTAGGTCTGCTAATATATCTCAGCTTGTTTGTTAACCAATGGTTGAGTTGAGGTAGAAGCTCTTTCAGCAAATAAGATTATCATCGGACATCGATAACTGATGAATGGCTCAGTTCTTTTTATTTGCTGAACACCGAAAGAGCACGGAATTGCTTTGATAATAGATAACCTCTCTCAAAGATTTCCATTGGTACACAATTCACCATTTTAAATGCTTTTACCAGAAAGCAATACATTTGATACTGTCACCAAAAGCGTTATCGAGATAGCAAATCATTCCGATTGCCGAAATCGAAAAACTGCTCCCAAATCCCACGGCGACGACGAGATGATGGTGGAAAATAGCGCTACAACATCCGAATGTCATTCTTACCTGTTGTTTGTGCGAGAAACTTCCGGACCGTCCCAGGGTGGCTGTCGTCAAGTTGGTATCCTTCACTCCGCCGCCACCCTGTCGCTTCGGAAGCGTTGCATAGCTCGGGGGTGGTTCATGGCTTCGCTTCCCTTTGCTCGGCGACGGACTCGCCGGTATCGGTATCGTCGTCAATGGGATATCTGCGGATCCAAAATAGAACCGAATCCGGAAAACAGTCAGTCAGATACGGATTCGAGCGGAGTGTGAGTGTATCAATTTTCTGGAGGATTTATGGGACAGGACGATAAATTCGCATTGGGACATTCATTGAAAGATAGCTGATGGCAGTTTGAGCTTTTTCAAAAGAGCAGACCGAGAGAGTGAATGACATACTAACCTGCCTCATCCGGACTGGCGTTTCCGTTGTTATTGCGAGATCCACTTCCGGAGCCGACGGTGATACCGGTGGTGGTGCTGTTGCTGCTGCTCATCGTCTGGGACTTCCGCCGACGGGACCGATCTCGTTGATAGTAGATGCCGGCAAAGATGAGCATATTTAGCAGCAGCAGCAGGCAACCGACACCGACTGTCACTCCTAAGGCGGCGGTGTAGCTGAGTGTGTGGAACGGATAGAGAGGGGAAGATTTATGGGCTGTTATCAAGCTACTTATCCAGTTCCAAGAAGAGTGTTTCTAGAGAAGTTTCTTTGCTTGGTTTACTAGGAATACGGCTTATTTAGACGAAAGAACGAACTCACCTATAGTAATGTCGATTGGCCAGCTTCTCCAGCAGTTCCTCCTCTTCCTCCTCGGTTAGAATGCCGCCTTCGACGTTTCCCTCCTGCAGTACCTCTCCCATCGTTGGATCCGGGGTGCATTCGGTCCCAAATAACTCCTGTCGAGATTCCTGCGCATCGTTGATATTGCCACCGCCTCCGAACATTCGCGGCCGACTGAACAACTCCGCTCGCACAGATCCTACAGAGGAAAAAAAATATGAAGAAGAAGACAAAAGGTGATTAGATACTCGCATTATGCTTAGCAATGATCCACATCATGACCGTCGACAAAATTATATTCAATTCCCTGCGCCCGGAGTTAACTTTTAATTTCATGCAAATTTAAACATGGGAATGCACATTGCCGTTGCCGTTCGTTACGCTTGCCTCCCTCTCAGTGTCCATTGTTGACCCAGATCCCACAGTAGCACTAGGAGGCACAGTTTTGCGGCTAGAAAACTGCTTGGCTGCTTATTTCACCTTCATCCCCGTTGGACGTGCCCACGTGTCCAGGAATAAAGTAGATTTGTTGTGATTTCATACTTTTTCAGCCGGCGGGGAACCAGGTGCGGGATGGGGCGATGAAAGTTTAACATTTGAATGTGGTACGTGTCGGCAGCTGAGCCGGAGTTATGAAAAGTGATAGTTTAACAACGATTAAAAATTTGAAACAACACTCACTGTTTTGAAGCCATGGGAAACTTTTCGACAATGGTCGTGCACATCTAACAAACTGCCCGCTTCCACTTTGTACGTGGCTGCAGGCGATTGGCGAAAGTTTTTTTTTTGTTGCTTTTTATATTCTCGGGAATTGTCATTCCCATTCATTTTGTGTCTATTTGTGGGCACAAAGATGGATTGGAGACGCCTGATGTTGAATTCAGTAGGATAGAAAAAAAAAATACAGACTGCAAGTTGACCCTTTTGTTACCGTTCGCTGTAAATCGTTCTCTGATGGATATAACTTTATGAAATTTCACAAAATTAATTAATGTGATAATTTTTAATAATTACTTTATTTGTACAGGCTCAATCGAATAAACTTTACAGAGCCGAGTTATCCTTTGCGTTATACATTATTACTGTCTTATATTTAAAGTTAAAGGAAGTGGATCGAGTACTCGCGGTTGTCTCGAGGTTAGTGGAAATTTACATTTTTTTGGATGGGAAAAGGGAGAAGGAGGTGTCTTGATCTTGATCTTGAAAACAAACATTAAAAAAAAACCCACACGTACAAAATACAAACCTAAACACAAGGTTAATCAAACTTACAATCTAAGGTTAATATTCTTAAAGTAAACATATATGAGTTTCAAAAGCTCCAGATCGCGTCTAGCCAAAATATCCCGAACCGGAACATTAGGTTCTCTACCTCGAGCCCGAAGAAATCATACAAATGTGATCTGACTCCACGATACTCCGCACAAGACCAAAGGATGTGATCAGCGTCCTGGTAACCTTGTCCACATTCACAGAGATTGCTGTCTCCCAACCCCACACGGACCAAGTGAGCGTTTAGACAATAGTGATTGGACATGAGACGAGACATCACGCGTATGAAGTCTCGACCCAAGTCCAACCCTTTGAACCATGCAAACTTCGACACCTTAGGGATAATTTAATGAAGTCATCATCCCAAGCTCCTTTCACTCCATTGATGTTGCTAACGGGTGGCAACTAAAATTTTGGAATTTCTTTCTCAAGCTGTCAAAAAAAGACAAACATACTTGAAGAAGATCTGATTTATTGAAATTAAAGATACATTGTCCATTGTTGAAAAAAAATTAGTGAACATTTGAAAACGGTCCGTAATCGGATGTTCGGTGAAGCTTCCGTTTGATGTCGGAACAGGAGCGTTGTACGGCCTTCATGTCAACTTTGCGAATGCATCTCTTGATTCTACCAATCAACTGTTTGTAATTCGTGTCTCTCCAGTTATTTTTGTACACCAAGGAGCTCAAAACCCCGAAGAAATCTTCGATTGGGCGACACTGAGGCAGATTTGTCGGATTGTGGTTTTTGGGTACAAATGGGATCGAATGGGTATTCAGGAACGATTGTGTTTTTTTGGCGTAATGCGATGACGCTTTATCCGGCCAAAATACGTATTGTCCATCAGCATGATGTTTTTGTAGAAACGGGATCAAAATTTTCTTCAAACATTCGTTCTAGTACACATATTGATTGATTGCCAAACCAGAGGGCTTGAACCATGGCTTAGAAATGACTTTCTCGGAAATGGCAATGTACAGCATCACTTTCTGTTCAAACTTATGCTTAAACTTATATTTTATGTTCGGAGGTGCAGTAGAACTATCCGTTGAATAGTATCGATTGTTTCCGGGAATCTGCGTCTTCGAAAGAGGGAAGTAACTTTCGTCGTCCAAAACAACACTTTTTCCGGAATAATTGGGCGGCATTGGGATTTCAGCGTTGAAATCAGTGCGTCAGTATATACCGGGTCTCGTGTCTTCTTTCGGTACTTTATTCCGATTCTTTTCAATGTTTTGCAGATGTATTGGCGAGAACAGTTGAACTTTTTTGCGGCATCCCGTTGGCTCAGTGAATCCTTGTTGTTGAAGGCACGAGAAAGAGAACGAAGTCCTTTTGCGCCCATAATTTTGGCTGGTATTCCACTACCTTGCTTGCGAGCAGTTGTTGGGGATCTTGGGATATGGTAAACAGTCGAAGCCGCAACATTTTCGCTTTTAAAATGTTGTACCGTATACTTTTTGCCGAGATTTCTGTGCAGTTCGTAGAACTGTACAACGCGCTCGCGAAATACTTCTTGTTTCGACGGCATTTTGAGCAAAACTGAGCAAGCATAAACAAAACAAAAAATACTAGCAGAAAGAAGAGAGAGAGAGCTAACACATACACACTCTTATTTCTCTCTGAGCACGTTTGTTGTTGAGCATAGAGGCCTCGAAAAAATTCCAAAATTTCGAGCGATTGCTGACGATAAATAGAGAAAAATTCACTATAGGCGATTTGTCGATCATAAATGTCGCCTTCCATAACGCCCACCTTTGCAAGTGAATCCGCCTTCTCATTGCCCGAAATTGAGCAATGCGAAGGGACCCACGCGAACGTGATGATGAAAGAGCGCACGGATAAAGCACTAAGCAGTTCTCGTATTTTCAAGAGAAAATACGAGAAGTGCTTTATCGGCCTAATGGAACGGATAGCCTCGACAGAACTGAGACTATCCTTAAAAATAAAGTAGTGGTCTGGAAGAAGTGAAGAAATAGCTTCCAAAGTGTAGTGAATTGCTGCCAGTTCAGCCACATATACAGAACAAGGAGCTTCAAGTTTTCGAGAGGTGCTATGAAATTCATTAAATTCACCAGAACCAGCGGACTCCTCTATTAGAGATCCTTCTGTGAAAAACGTTCTTGAAGAATCAACATGGCCAAACCTTGCAGAGTATAATGACGGAGCAATCATAGTACGATGATGCTCTGGAATTCCGCGGATTTTCTGCGTCATAGATAAATCAAAATTCACTAAAATTGGCGAAATCGGAGAAGACTACACGATTGGGAATACTTCTTGAAGGGCTGACATCCTGTGTTAAATATAGGTAATACAAAGTCATAAAACATGTTTGAGGATTTAGCTCCAGAAACAACGGGTGAGGAGCCTCAGAGATAACTCTGAAAAACGGACAGATAGTGGCAACATGCCCGCCAGCACTTCGAGACTCATAGTATGAGTCGAGTGCATGCATCCTAACGTGATACGAAGACAACGATACTGGATCCGTTCCAGCTTGATGATGTGCGTTTTAGCTGCCGACTGAAAAACCAAAACTACCATATTCTAGAACCGATAAAATCGCTGTCCGGTACAGCGTCAGAAGATCTTGTGGATGGGCTCTCCACCACGTTCCAGTAATTCCAGTAATTGTACGGAGAAAATTGATCCTTAGTTGGCATTTTCGTCTCAGATACTCAATGTGGGATCTCCAGGTGCATTTAGAATCGAACCAGACCCCAAGATATTTGAAACAATTCGTTTGAGCGAACGACCAACTCAGTTTTCTCCGTAGATAATTCGATACCTAGCTGAATAGCCCAAGTAGATAAATTGTCCAAGGTATCCTGTAAGGGTCCTTGCAGGTCAACCTCTTTTGGCCCTGTGATAGACACTACGCCGTCATCTGCAAGTTGTCTCAACGTGCAATTGTCACTATGACAATCATCAATTTCTCTGACGTAGAAATTGTACAAAAGGGGGCTTAAACATGAGCCTTGGGGGAGACCCATGTAGCTAAATCGAAAAGCTGTAGAGTTTCCATGAGAAAAGCTCATATGTTTTTCAGACAGCAAATTGTACAAAAAATTATTCATTTATGGAGACAATCCACAAGCGCGGAGTTTCTCTGAAAGAACTTCAACGGATACTGAATCAAAAGCCCCCTTTATATCCAAGAACACAGAAACCATTTGCTCTTTCTTAGCAAAAGCCAACTGAATTTCCGAGGAAAGCAACGCGAGACAGTCGTTCGTTCCCTTACCCCTACGGAAACCAAATTGAGTATCTGAAAGAAGGTGGTTCGTCTCAACCTATTTGTCGAGGTGAAAAAGGATCATTTTCTTCATCAATTTCCGAATGCACGACAGCATTGAGATGGGCCGATACGAATTGTGATCCAAAGCGGGTTTATCACCCTCACTCGTCTCAAATCGTCGGGAACAATATTGAGCTCCAAGAGCTGAAGTTCAACATGCGCCTCTTAGCGACGTCTGGGAGGTTTTTCAGCAAGTTGAACTTGATTCTATCAGAATCAGAATTGCCACACGATAGGAGAGCGAGTTAAAGTTCGTTTCGCGAGGAATCAACTGCGACGGCACGGAATCCGGACACACTTTTCGCGCGAATTTAAAATTCCATCGATCCGAGTATTCCTAGCTTTCGTTGTTAGTAGACCGGTTACGCTTTCTTCGCGCCGTACTCCAAAGCGAATTCATAGACGTTTTGCGTAACCCGGTTTTTTGGCCTTGATGAGGCTCTGGAGTTCGCGTTCAAGAGATGTGTATGCGTCGAAATGCTCGCGTGTTCCGCGTTTCCGAAAAAGTTTAAACGCGTCGGATTTTTGACGTAGGACTACGTCTGTGATTCTTTTATGGGGATACACTTTGTGAAAAATTAAAATGGAACATGTATCGAAATTATGAAAGATTTTGAACGCTAATA